TGTTATCTGAAATCGCCTGACAAAATAAAATAAATAAATAAATAAAATAAACAGCAAGGCAGAGAGAGAAAAGCAGGCATGCATGCAAAATTTTTTTATTGAACTTGTATAGATTACACAGCTTGTAAAATCGTCATCGCTATAGAAAGATTATTTCACATCATGCAAAGCTCAGTGCTTCTGCAAACACAGGGACCTTAGATGGATGGGAAAGAAATACATTTTAGCCCAAAGCTTTGTTTCTCACATTAAGTTGCCGGAAAAAACACATTCTAAATTACAGCAATCAGATAAATGCATTTTGCATTTCTCAAGTAGTTACTCTACTAGGCTGAGGTTGGCAGTTTGCCTAGAAGTTTTTATCTCTGCAGTAGGCTCAGCTCCCAGCTCAGCAGAGAATGAAAAGTTGAGCCAGACACACTCTGTATATGCACTGTGTATATGCTCCAATCTTTTCAATAGGGTTGGAGCAAAATTGGCTTCACTCCCCATTTTATTCTTCAGCAAAATCTACTTTATCTGATCCTCTGTGCCAATGCAGGATGGGACTCTATCAATGATCACGACCAAATTACACAAGACTAGAAAAATGCTATTCTACAAGGACATGACCATAGGTGAAGATTCCCCTGCCAAGATATACACTTCTAATCATTTCCTACTAAGTTGAGGTTTAAAGGTGACGATTGCCATGCACTAGAAGAATAAATATCAGCGGTTAATTTCAAACTATATATAGATCGACAAACGTCTGTCAGATCATATCTCTCTTAACATAGCTTGAGTTGTTGTCTTCTCTGATTCTGAAAACATTTCCAAAATGATCCTTTTAATTTCATTCTTAATAGGGATACAGATCCTTGATGCATTGGCTACCTCTCCACCTCGTCAGTTTCTTTACGCACCGTGCAACTCTTCAAACGTAAAGGATGCTGCGGAAGCAGCCATTAATGAACTCAATGCACATCGGAGCGAAGGCTACGTTTTTAGAGTCCAACGTATTTTTAATGCCCAAGAAATACGCGAGGTAAGATCTCTTCCTTCTACTGACTTTCTTTTTCTTCCACTCAGCGCCAACCATTCTGATGTTAAATCGTGGTGGCACTGATGTATTAGGACAGGAAAATAAAAGCTATAAAATCACTTGATAGCATCCAAGAGATACAGGCTACTCTTCAATCTACAGGGCACCCAGATTCTGCTAGCCTACATTTGATAAACCTAATGCTTCCCTGAATGAAGTAAGTGTATTGATCCCTCTGGTCATTCCTACTCTTAGTTTTGGTTAAATGGGACTGGGTAATATCTGTCCAAGACCTTCTGAGTTAATCCATTGAGATCCAGTTTCATGATAATAGATAAATCATTCTTTGCTAGGATTAAAATAAATATTTTGCCACCTAGGGCAAACCTTTTAAAGCAAACTGTGATTCTGAGGACACTGGTGCCTTTTGAATTTGTTATAAAAAGTTCCAACATGCTTCAGTCTTTTTCTGTCTCCAACTCTCCAAATGAACAGGGTCTGTGATCGATATATCACTTAAATATTCTGAGAGAAGTGGGGGAATTGGTGTCCTAAACTCAGAGAGGGAAATTTAAACAAGGGGGAATAAACAGAAAAAAGTCAGAAGTGATTAACTGAACCTGTCCTAGGTTCCCCAAAGTAACCAATTCCGCAGTGAAGGGCTCTATCCATGGCAACGTTAAAATATCAGGAGATTCATCCTGAGGTCTACACGTTCTCTTCCCTTTCATCAAAGAGTAAGTGGCAGCCCAGCAGCATCACACCAGAGCTGCAAAACTTGTTGGTATGTGCACAATGTTGTTAAGCAGGTTTTAAAAATAGCCTTGCATCAAAAGACCGTCTCAACGAGGCTTATTGGAAAGCGAGATGAGGGGCATATAGTTGAAATCAACTGGATACAGTGGAAGCTGCTGGGTTTATCTGAGAGGGCGGATGGTTTCTTGAGCTCAAGTGAGAGTTGGTTAACCTGCTTAAGACGATGGACATCCTGCTTTGCCCTTTCAAGTGTTTTCCTTTGCTTGTCTATAACAGGAGGGAAATACTCTTTTCTACCTCGTTTTGGATGTGTTAGAAACCGAATGCCATGTCCTGAGCAGGAAATCGTGGAAAGAATGCAACATTAGAAGTTTTTCTAAGGCAGTAAGTAAGCAATCTACCCACTTAAAGAACGACCAATGGGGTTTGGAAGGAAATCAAATCTGGGGTTTGAACTGATAAACAAGCCAGAATAGCCTTCACCATTTCTCTCATCTTGTCACTGACTCCTTGACATGTCTATGTTCACAATAATTCTCTGTACTGAATTGCCATTTCAAATCAATGGCATTGTACGCATGAATCCCTGCATTTGAAGGAAGAGAGACAAATGGATCCAACCTCCGCTCACTAAAGGAACTAAACAGAAACCCTTCATGACACAGGGCTCTCAAACCATCTGGTAAACCTATTCTGGGACTGAAAGATCTAATTTCTCTTAGCAGAACAATTCCACTGTCCCACAGCATGGAGAGTTTGATTTTCCTTGTTTTGGAAGGAAAATAAACTTGAGTCTAAGGTCTATGTGTGGGGGAAACCTACCATGTTTGATCACATAACATGTAAAAAAAAAATAGGCAGCACTAACAAACTATCATCTCTTTTTCCAGGTCTATGGCCAGTGCAAAGTAATCATTAACTTCAACAGGCATTCAGACGATTGGCACTTGCGCAATTATGAGTGTATTTTACAACCAGGTATGTATTTCCCAGGTAGGTTTGCAAGAAGTGTCTATCCAAGCACAGATGCCTCCCAATTGCTAAATAACTATGATCCTGATCAGATACAGATTTGATAGAGGAGCTTAAATTTCAAGCTGATCCAAGCTTTCCGTATTTCGGACCATTTAAATGTGCAAGCTCAAATTCAAATGTCTTCTCTCACTGTATTAAATAAAACGCTTGCTTTTCCAAAGTTTCTAGTTCAGCTATTGTGGATCTTAGCCCCAATTGCCCAGTGCCTGGAGATCCTTCTGAAGCCACTTTTCAGGAGACAGCAGCAGAGACCCCTGAGCTCCATTTTCTCTGGCAGAGACACTGCAGGAGGATCCTTTGCTGTTTCCAGGCCGTCCCTGCGGGCCCAAGCTGAGCACCCCATGGGGCAGGTGCGGCCCGCAGGCCTTGAGTTTGACACCCCTGCATTAAGACATCAGGCTAAAACTGGGTGACCGTGAATTATAGTCCCGCCTTGGGCCAGCAATGACCTTGGGCCAGCCACTTTCTCTCAGCCCTAGGAAGTCACTTCTGAAAAACCATGCCAAGAAAATTACAGAGACTGATCCAGGCAGCCTCAAGGAATCAGATACGATTAAACAGAAGTGCGGGGGGGAATCCAAATTGAGTTTGTTTGGGGGGATTTAAGTCTCATGCTGATTGGTAGAAGGAGGCTTAATTTTCAAGCTGATCCAAGCTTTCTGTATTTCAGTTCATTTAATTGTACAAGTTCAAATTCAAATGTCTTGCCTCATCTTATTAAATAATGCTTTTCTATTTTGTTGATGATGAAGAGAAACAAAATTTGAATAATAAAATATCTATAGAAGAAATTAGGAAGGCAATTGGAACACAAAAAGCAAATAAGACCCCTGGCCCAGATGGAATTCCTTTGGAATTCTATAAGGAATTCCAAGAAACAATAGAGGAGATATTGGTGGACTTGTACAATGAAGCCCTGGAGAATGCTAACATGCCTAAATCATGGTTGGAAGCATATATTACGCTTATTTATAAAGAACAATCAGGCCCACAAAAAAATTCAAAACTACAGACCAATATCACTTTTAAATGTAGATGACAAAATAATGGCTACAATATTGGTGGAAAGATTAAAGAGAGTATTAAGTAGAATTATCCACGCTGATCAGAAGGGCTTCCTCCCCCATAGGCAAATAAAAACAAATACAAGAACCATTATGGATATATTAGAATATTATGAAGTATACTCAACCAAGACAATGGCACTGATATTTTAGACGCCCAGAAGGCTTTTGACAACCTGAATTGGAACTTCCTTATTAAACAACTGATAGGCATGAAATTTGGTGAACGTTTTATAGGACTTTTTAAGACAATTTATAACATGCAAACCGCAAAAATATTAATAAATGGAGAAGATATAGACACCATAAAGATAAATAAGGGAGTAAG